TATAGAAATTCGAGTAATACACAGTTTTGTCAAGCTAAGAATATGCATCTATTTGGAGTCATCAGTGTACTATTATATCGCACTTTCGGAGTTTTCATAGTATCCACCTTTAGGGTGTACTAAAAAATCAGATCCATCTAACTGTGTATTATCAGTACATTTATCACCCCCACTACCACTGACAATATTTTCTGAAAAATTAATCACCGGGGGATTGATATTTTTCGGTGTTTTAACATCTTCGGGTACTTCGTTTTTCTGTTTCAAGGAATTCTGGTACAACTCAACGAAATAAGAATTGGAACGACAATTTCTGAACCAATATCCTGTCATTCCGCTGCAATAACACTTATCCTCGATTTTCTTGAAACTCTGCCCAATATCATTCTAAGGCCGCTTCAGGGCCCTATTTGATTCTTGTTCATTCAAATGTCATTAATGATAGTAATGCGAAACAAACCTGCCACGACCACGTCCACGGTCAGTTCCACGTCCACGATTCATTCCATGTCCACGATTATATTTACGTCCACGACTAAATCCATGTCCATAACCTTATCCGCGACCTCATTCGTGGTAGAATCTAGGCATATTATTCAAACACTGAGTCGCATTCACTTCAGGGAATGGACTTGCACCAGTTGGCCTCGATTCATGATTTTTCAATAATAATTTGTTATTCTGTTCAGCAACAAGGAGACAAGTAATAATATCACAATATTTATTAAAACCCTTTTCTCGATATTGTTGCTGTAAAACTATATTAGAGGCATGAAACATGATGAATGTTTTTTCTAACATATCTCTATCAGTAATATTTTATCCACAAAATCTTAACTGAGACGTGATTTTAAACGTCATAGAATTATAATCGACAACTGTTTTAAAATCTTGCAAACGCAAGTTTTGCCATGCGTGTTTCGCTTTTGGCAATATGACCGGCTTCAAGTGGCCAAATCGATCTTTCAAATTTGTCCATAATTTGAATGGATCTTTCACCATTAAATATTCCATTTTCAGGGTTTCGTCAATATGATGACGCAAGAAAACAATTGCCTTTGCACATTCTTAATTTGTGCATTCATTTTCACTAATTATTGTTTTCGAAAGCCCCATGGATTCGAGGTGCATCTCGACATCCATTACCCACGGCATATATTTACTTTCGGTAATTGTCAGTGGGGGAAATTCAAATTTTGCTATATTAGTCATGGTTAAAAGAAAATAAATAAACTTATCAGAAATTTCGCAACCTTTCGAGTAACCTAAAAAAAAAAAAAAATACAACAACAAAACAACAAAAAAAAATACGTTATCTTTATATGCACTTCCTCGGCAAAGTCTCGTGCTGATAATTTGTTATAAAATATAATCAAATATATAATAACCATATAAGATAGAATATATATATGTATAGGGTGTGTAAAATATATGATACTTCCTCCGTCCCACATAATTTGTCCATATTTTCTATTTTCGTCCGCCCCACATAATTTGTCTTATTCTTTTTTGAAAAAATGATTATACACTTTAATTATATTTTTTTAAAATTTAAAATTTAATTTTTTTTTAATTTTAATTAAACTATTTAGTTGTTTTAATATTAACTTATAATTATTTCAACTATATATAATTATTTTTACTAATATATTTTTTTAATTACTTACTAATTATACTTTACCTAAATTCTCGTATATACAATAATATACTTATATTATCTAGGGCGGAGGGAGTATGTAATATATATAAATATAGATATACTTTATATATATATATATTTGTGTGTGTTTGTAGTTTAAAAGAGAGAGAGAGATTATAAGAGAAAAGAGAGAGACTAGAGAGAGTTCAAAGCTAAAATTTATTTTTATTTTTCACCAAGTTAACCAATTTATAGGTCTTGATGGTAAAGATTAATATATTGTTATATATGTCATTTAATTAAGTACTACATGTGCTGTATTTATATGTACTGTATTTATATGTACTGACACCTAATATAATAAAATGATTAATCTTTCGAAGGGAATTGTATGCTGATTCAAAAAAATCAGCACCCATACTAATAATATACTTATGTGTCATAACAATTACATAAAAATATGTTTAATGATAGTTACGAATACAACAAACAAAAAATGAAAAAAATAAAATTAAAAAATAAAATTAAAACTAACACAGTACCGAATTCAAATCTAAAAAATTCATCACTCATTAACAAAGTATTCATATTCTGGATTAGTAAAACTAAAGCTCAATTTGTTTGTGAGTATAAAATTTTGACTTTATTATTTATTAACTATTTTTAGAAATATTAAATAAATTTTTATTTTTTTAATATTATACTAAAAATCAATATTACTTTTCAAATCATCAAACGATTAATCCAATTTAAAATTCTAAATCTAATTCCAAAACCCATTATTGGATTATATTCAAATTTCTGCTTGAGCTAAAAAGCTTTTCCCCTACAATATTTGTTGAGTTTTCCTTTCAACTTCCTTTCTTAAGTCACTTTCAAAACCCAAAACCAACTTAAATTTCATTATTTACTAGCAGTAATTTTTTCAAAAAATAACAAATAAATATAATTACTAATTTTATGGAGCAAAAATACTCCAACGAACTCTATTTCCCCCTCCAAATAGAGAGTAAGGGCGTGTTTGACAATTAGCTGATAGCTGTTAGTTGATTAAATTAGCTGGTTTGACTAGCTGATTCGATTAGCTATTTGTATTAAAATATTTGGTAAAATAACTGTTTGATATTAGCTGTTTATACGTAAAATGACAATTAAGGACATTTCTATTTTATTCTTATTTCTAATATATTCAATTATGTTCTTTTGAGTTTAGAATATTTAAAATTTTTTGTTATTAGTTATTGAAAATTATAAAAGTGCTATAAAACTATTTATTTTTATTACAGTTAAATTTTAAAAATAATATATTTTTATTAAAATATATAAATAGTTCTTTTATTGAAAATGATGTAAAATATAAAATAATAAATTTTTCGTGTATATAATTATGTTAGTCATCGATTAGTTTATTATAATTATAATTTTCAATAAATTTAATTTATTTAATTTATTTTTAGTATAAAATTTATATAATGTAATTTTAATAAAAAAATAAATTATTAATATTTATATTTTTTATTTTATGTAGATTTTTATAAATTTATATATTTTATTATTAAAAGAATTTTTATATAAAAATTAATTATTTTAAATTTATAAAAGTAAAACTATAATATAATAAAATATTCTAATATAATTCATAAATAATCAAAATATATTTATTTGTGTAAAATATATAATCAATTTTTAAAGCATATAAGGAATAAAAAATTTTTTTACCGAAAAAAACAATTTCAAAACGTTGGGTAAATTAGCTTTTCAAAAATTAGCTTTTTGGGTCCAAAAAACTAATTTATCAAACACCTAAATTAGCTTTTTGACTGATCAAATAGATAAAAGCTGTTCAATAAAATAAAAGCTCTTAAAAAACTTATTTGTCAAAACACACCCTAAGTCATGAAAGCTCTTCTCCATTTTTTGAGAAATTTTGTAGCATCTCCAAAATTGGTGGAATATATTTTTTGTAATTTAATCCCTGAAGTTTATTATTTTTATATATTTGGTATTTAAAATTTATTTATTTATTGTTATTATGTGGAATATCAATTGGGTGGTGACTCTTTTTTTTCTTTTTCTTCTTATTCGTTTTTTTTATTATTATTTTTTTAAAATTTGGTGTTATTTATTTCAATACATAATATATTATATTATATAATAAATAAACAATATAAAAATTACACAATATAAATATTATATAATATAATATTACACATAAATATTAAAATATAAAATTAAAATAAAATATAAACAAATAATAAAAGCAACAATAACTAAATGTGATTTTACCTTAGTTTTTTATTTTATTTATTTTTTAAATCGTTAATTTTTCTTACATAAAAAATAATTAAATAATATAATTTATTAATATTATTATTTTAAAATTTGTCTCTGAATTTATTGAAAAGAGAATTTTGAGATTAATACGTAAATAGATAAAAGTTGAATAAAAATTACGGAAAAAATTATGTTGATCCCAATATAACTAAAATTTATTAATTTTGGTCACAATATAAAAATCTTATCAATTTTGGTCCAAATATAACCAAAACTCATATTTTTTGTCCCAATATAAAAATCCTATAATTTTGGTCCAAATATAACCAAAACTCATCATTTTTTGTTCCAATATAATCAAACCTTATATTTTTTGTCACACCGTCAACAAATCGACGAAAAATGCTGACATGGACTTGCAAGATTGTGAAAATTCTTCAAATATAAATATAAGGTTTGATTTCTTTTCACATAAGCATTTTCCGTCGATTTGTTGACAGTGAGACAAAAAAGATAAGATTTAATTATATTGGGACACAAAACGATAGAATTTTGGTTACATTGAGGCCAAAATTGTAGGATTTTTATATTGAGACAAAAAATAATGAATTTTGGTTATATTGAGACCAAACTTAATGAATTTTATTTATATTGAAACAAAAATAATTTTTTCCCTAAAAATTATGTAATTGTTTAAAAATAAAGAATATAATATTCTTTTTAGAGGAAAAAATAAAGTGAGTTGGAGTGAAGTTAAAATTTAAAGAAAAATTTGAAAGAAAAATTAGAGAAAATAGAAGAATGTGTTAGAGTTGGCCTACAGCATCACATCAAATATCAAATTTCTTACTATTTCCAAAATACTAATACTTAAGAAACATCTATTTAAACTAAAATAATGTATTAAAGAAGGGATTCCAAGTTCAAAATTAGAACAAATTGGATTTTAAGTGAAGTAGCCTTTCACTCTTATACGGAAGGAGAGTTTTCTAATATTTTTCAATATCGGACAATATTCAATACACCCCTTAGAAGATGATATCCATCTCGAAATCAAATTCCAATCACGATCACGATCAATATCAATATGGACACCGTAGCTTTGTTACTATGTAATCCAAAATTCCAACTTAAAACCAACTATTTGGAAGGCGATCCGAGGTTCAATTGCCAACAAAATACAACTAAACACGTTGGATCGAGAAGTCGTACAGATGGAGGGACATTGCCAACAAAACAAAACCAACCCTTAGCGAACTATACATTGAAAAAGTAACCTTAACTCGGAATTCCGGATCCCTTGTTAACACAATAATACAAACAAACATATTGGATCGAGAAGCCTTATAGCTGGAGGTAAATTTCCAGCTAAGTTATGGCTGCTCTATTTCTCATCAAAATTCTCATGGATTTTCAGCAGCTCTATTTCTACAAGCAACAATAATCTCTGTGAACCCTTTTTAGCATGTGACTCACCGGAACATGGCCGTGTCAATGTCATCACAAACAGCATGGAGAAAACATTTAACACAGAAGCAAGCTTTGTTTATCTATCAATAGGCATAATCGGATACGGTAAAATAAAGGGGAAGCAAATTTACTTGATGAATGGAATTCCAGAAGGTGTCCGTCTAGCATACTCCTCATAGTCTGGACCGAAGAACTGCCTCAAGAAGAACTCCTCATACGGTATTCTCTGTCGAAAAAAGCACCAAACAACTACTGCAAATGCAAGGGTTGATAGTGGATTACAGAGTATTAACTGGGTGCCGACAGCCCAGATGAGAAAGCCACAATAACTCGGATGCCGCATGTGCGCATAGATTCCATGAGTTACCAATTTATGCTGTTCATCGTAATATATCTTTATGAGATGGGTGAAGGACCTACCGGCAGTTAGTATAGCCCACTTACGTAAAATCTCACCAATTACTACCATCGCAAGACCAGTTTTGTTTGCTAACCTGAGCTCCTTCAGACCAGGGAAGTAATAAACCTCGACAAAGTACTCTACTAAGGACCATGTCATTGCCAAGACATAGTGTGAGCTTATTAGAAGAGAATTCAGGTGTACATGGTTTTGCCCATGAATCGCAACTGCTAGAATATATTCAGAGCCATGAAAAAAGATAACGACAAAGAGATATTGCAATAAATGTGGCCATTCTGTGAAGCTGAGGATTTCCATCATTTTGTCGAAAGGAATCAAACAAGACCAATTCACTCCAATCTCATTGAACGATAATCTTGGATAAGTTGGGTAGAATTTATGTCAGACCTGAACTGATTGTAATGCAGCAGGTGCTAGTGATGAAAGCCAAGATACAATTTCGTCTTTAAAATGCATTATGAATGGAGTTCCTGGAAATCAGCAGAAGTTAGAAAGAATAGTTATAGGCAAAGGACAATATGTATCAAACCAAATCTATATCTGACCATTGATGCAATAAGTACATAGTGGAAAGGACTTCAACTTAAAGGCCATATGCTGCACAAAAGAATACAGGGGATGAAGTATGTGGTGTGAATGATTAGTAACATATGTTACCGACAAAAGTTACACTTATATTTCCACAGTCTGAGATGCACCATTATCATTAGGAACCTTATAAAACCTTATAATTAGGATCATGACCAAATTGAAACTGTCAATCCAAAAGGGTAATTTGATCATGCTGTCAAGTGATACAGTAAAAAATGCTATTCTCTTGTCTGCTTAAGAAATCAAGCTGAGATTTGTTTGTGTTCAGTAAAACTCTACACAACCTTAACCTTGAAAACATATATATTTGTATTGCAACTCAAAGTAAACTGTCAAAATGTAGAACCTTAGTTGCGGTCAAGCATACCCTCCATTAAGTTTTAACAAATGAGAGGTTCTGTGTAAAGTTTTAAACACAGGTTTCAAGCAATCCCTTAACTAATAATGGTGATTTTATTATTTGTAGGAAATTAGAAATCTAGCAATTATTAAACCACATGGAGGTAAAATGGACTTTAAGCAATCCATAACATTATAATGAAAATTTTATTTTGAAATATAATTTTCAATTACATTTATTAATACTTTTTTAAAATTATAGATAATTACATTAAATAATTAAGTAATCATGCTATCAGTACTTCTAAAACAAAATATGACATATAACAATATGACTTACAAAAAGACTCTTATTTTTTTCACTCAGAGTGAGATGTTTACATTCCCTCCAAATCATCAACCAAGTATCAAACAAATACAACAGAACAGCTAAGCACAAGATATTCAAGACTACTTTTGCATACAATCACACAACTAGTTTTTGTAATATTCCTTCTCATTGTCATAAATAAATTTCAAACTTTAATATGGAATTGACAAATCATTCTAGCTTCTTTTTTTTTTTTTTTTTTTCAATTTTTCTTTTTTCTATTTTTCTCATGCTGAGAAATCCAAAGGTCATATTTTACCTAAGCCCTTTGCTCAATGTAATTTCTTACAAGCAATTACGTGCTCAAACTTCCAAAAGAATCCTTCAGACCATGAGACTATCCTAGATCACACAGATAATTTTTCTAATATTTCTTTCCTCGAAACAATTATGGACCTGCACCTAATTTTAAGTTATTACATTCTCATCAAAGAAAAAAGAAATGAATGGAAAAAAATGAAATACAAAGATATACTTACAATTTTCTGCAGCTTTCATTGTAAATACAAAGAAAAGATCAATTAAAAGAGATGAAATTTAATTAATAAGAAATATTAAAAAAGTAGACCTCAAGTGCTATGTAGAATATTTCTGGTGCAGAAAATGGCATGGGTTGGATATTCGACCCACACCATTTTCCTTGCACAGTCAAGGAAAAGGAAGGTCTAACATATCCAAGTGCTTAGAAGAATTATTCAGACAATGTGAATAACTTATGCTCCTAGGAGAGTGCCACAGGTAGTTCTGTGCTCTGTTTCAACAACTGTGGGGATGAAAGGTTTTGGCTCAGTAAAGGAACTAGAAGAGCACAACCATACTAGCCACCAAACATAGACTTCCTTTTTCCGTTAGTGTTATCATACTTCAAGCTCATTGCTATCAAGCTTTACACTTCATTATTGAACTGATTTCCATATACATTATGTTGTGAGAAGTAGGGGTATGGGGTATTCGTCCACTCCCGTCGACTGATGCATACCCAGCGCCGCCTGCCAACGACCAGCTGCCACAGGGTGTATATCTGCTCAGAATCTAACCATGGGCAGCTGATCCATAGCTGTCTGTCCTTCCAATTCAAGCTAAACTATAATCCAGATCTGCACCTGCTATCCAGAGGCATATCCAAGACAGTGTACCATTGGGTTTATCAATCATGCACACTGAAATCAATCAGGAGTCATGGGACCATCTCAATAATTTGAGATGAGTTGTTTGATGTGTATGTAGCATAAAAAGAGGCAAAAGCAATAAGGGATTCATGGATGCAAATTATACTAATGGTGATATCATCAAATGGTTGGAAATTTTCAAAGGAATACTTCCAGCTTTTGGAGAATTTGAAGGGTATGAAGATTAAACTGCTAGGAGTACACGACAGAGTTGCAGATTGGAATGACTACCAAAAATATTTAAAGCACAAAGAAAAGAAAATGAACTTGGAGGAACTGATACATCACATTGTGATCAAGGATGAGAACTTAAAGCAGCACAGGCTGATACGTCCAAGTAGGATGAAGCACAAGCAAATCTGGTGCAAGCAAATGAAAACAAAACAAAATTGAAACTCACCCAATTGAAATTCAGATTGAAAAATGAAGAAGAAAAGAAAGGGCAATTCTGATGTATGCAGAAAGCAAACACACTGCTTTCCACTGCATACATAGAAAAAAACTAATAATAATAGTAATATTAATATGACAACCCTCCAAAGATAAGGAAAATCTTATGTACGAGACAGATATTATTATGCAATCATTTTTGTGGTAAGCATAGCAAGTGTTATTCATTGGGTCATTGACTCCTTGCCACTAACCATGTTTGTCCAAACATATAAACCATTGACATCTATTGATGTATTCCATGTATCCAACATCGAGGAAATTTAAATTATGTGTCATGAATGAATCATGCAGGGATCAAGGTGTTATTTGAGTCTGAAAAAGTTGTAATGACAATAACTAATGTGTCTGTCAGAAAAGCAATTGTGAAAAACTAATCATACTAAACACTGCTGATAATGTGAATAAAAATACTTTTAGGTCTGCTAATTTCGTTGATTGTATATATGGATTACCTATATGAAAATTACGTAACAATTAGGCTTAATTAACAAGTTCATAATTCCAAATGGATTTAAATGTCCAATTTGCGCCTATACTAAGTCCACTGATTCGTTTCATACAAGAACAGGCCAGGGAAACAATGCAATATGACTCAGAATCTCAAAATGTCCTGTAAATTAGTGACCTCGGAGCTAAATTGATCTAGTTTTAATGAACATTCATACATGTTAAACGGAAAGCTCTACGCGCAAACCTAAGTACTAACAATGTGCATATTTAAGAAATCAAACCCTTCGAATAAAAATTGGCGTGAACAAAATTGGGGAAAAAAGTTTGATTCAGGTTAACTAACCTGATGAGGTAGACGTCGGCGATGGGTGAATGGGGCGTCGTCGGCATAGAATAAAATGTAGGTGACGAGAACCACAGCTTCCGTTGGGTTGTCCGACTGATCGATCAGGGTTCACCTGTTTTCCCCATTTTCGTTTTCTTTTTCATTTTCATGTTCAGGAGTTTATACAATTATATATTTTCAGCAACTTTCTGTTGGTTTAGATCACGAATACGAATATAATTGCCGATAAAAGTATTCAGCCTCCGTTTGTAAGATAATAATAATAAATGAATAAATAAGGAAATGTATTATTGAAAAATTATAAATAAATAATTAATAAATTAAAAAAAAATAGTGATAAATCAAAATATAATGCAAATTAAAAGAAAATAACAAGAATATTTTTTTAGTGTTTTATAATACTATTAAATTTGTAAAAAAAAATTATAAAATGTTTTTAATATTAGTAATGACACCCTTGAACATTATGAAGAGAGCATTATTTATTAAAATAAGATGAACCTCATAAAATTATTTATTATAAATAAATTTAGTGGATAATAAAATATATATATATATATATATATATATAAAGCTATTGTAATTATTTACTTACAAAGGAAATTATACATCAAAATATTATTTAAATTTAAAAAAATTAAATCAAAATTTGAGAGTGAAAAAAAGGGAAAAAAACTTAAAACTGTCAAATCAAAATTTTTATGTGAGAATTTTTGAAAAAATATGTTGTCTTGAGTTGTGTATAGCGAGTTTATGCCATGAATGAAAATGATCATATATAGTTTCTTACATCCATGATGCCCAATATAAAATGTTTTATCACAACTGAAAAATAGATTTTTTTTTTTTCGAGCTTTCATCTCCTCTAATGTCTTTGATTGATGTGATATTTTGGATATAAAATAAATTTATAATATATATAAATAATAATAATAATAATTGTTTGATATGATATTTTTTGGATAACATGAATAGTAAAAACCTGTGTTAAAATCCACAAAGGAACACAACTTAGCACATTTTTACTATTTACAAATACGACTTTATCTCTATCTTGACATTGTCAAGGCTTAGTGTGACAGTGGAGGTCCACCTTGAGCCATGGACTATCCGCACATTGGGTTTGGGCCGAACATCACCATCTCTCCAATCGATAAAGAAAGATCGAAAGTCGAAAAAAGATTGGAGAAGGATGGTGCATATCGATATTCTTTAGAGATTTGATTGTTGTTCGGAGGAGGTGAGCTGCCGTTTAGAGAAGCCTTTGTCCAACCGTTTGAGTTGTCGGGCTCCGGAGAAGAAGGCAACGTGGAAATCGATTCAATGCGCGCCGCATTTGCTGAAATTTTTTATGTCATCGAAACATATTGTAATGTCTTTTAAGATGGTTCAAATCAAAACGAACAATGGACGTTTATTTGGTTTAAATTCTGTTTGATTTCAATATGGTTATATTAATTTAGTTTTTATTCAAATGTTACTTTCATTAATAAACTTGTATAATTCTGTATTTACGGGGTATTATTTAAAAAAGTCAATCAATCTTGGATAAATACACAATAGAGGTAATAGAGCCAATATAGCCAGTAATCTATTACAAAATTGAAAGAAAAATTAGGTTAGAATTTGGTGTGACTCATTCTATGGATAAAAAGACTAAACTTTCATCTCTATATATTTTTTTAATATATTTTATTTTTCTTGGTGAATATGTGAATATTAATGTGCTTAAAATTCTTTTTATTAGTTGACTTTGTGTCTCTTGGTTATTAGTTAAATAATCTTGAAATATAAGTTTGTTTTTTCAACAAATTTTTTTTACAATTTGTCTAAAAAAATTAATATACTAAACATATTCATTACTTCTATATTATTACAATTCTCTATACCTTATATTAAAAAAAATTTCAAACCAAAACACAAAAGAAATACACCTATATATATATATTTTGTATTTTCTCGGTGAATATTTTGGAATTGTATTTTGATTCATCGATTATATTTTTTTTTTTATGTATTTTTGAATTATTTTTTTTTAGCCTTGTGAAATTTTAATATATTAATTTAGCCAATTATTGAATGCATGTTAAAACATATTTATAAGATATTATCGCGTATTATAGGTGATAGTAAATATGCCTTCAAAAATTAAGAAATGATTGAAGTTAGAGGAAGATTAATAATGAAATTGATTTTGTTGTATATGTGTTGATTTGGTGAAATATACATGCGTTAGATTTTTAATTTTTTTATGCTATGTGTTTGGATTAATTATTTTTGAATAGATTCTTTGTAAATAACAAAATGTCAAGAGTACAAATCAAATTACATATTTTTCTGGAAAAATTAATTGATGGAAATAGACATGCACTACTAAATTAAAACTAATTGTAGAAACATAGAAATATATTAATGCATGATGTAGTTAGTTGCATTTATTCGTTGATGTCTTTGTTGTGAAATTTGATTGTTGTATTCGGATTATATGGACTAATTTGGTGATGTTACCTTGAGTGTTATATATGTTAGAAATTGACAAAAATCTTTGATGATTATATATGTTACTTGAATCGCACGTAGATTATCGTGGACTAGTTATTTTTGTATGATGAAAGCATGTTGTGTCCTATATTGATTAAATGTTGTTTTTGTGTCTGTGAGTGTACGGTGTGCATTCTTTCTTTGAATACTTTCCGGATATGTGTGGTTGTGTTTTTACAGATTTTTGTAACAGTGTTTGATCAAATTTTGTGCTTACGCTGTAAAACTTTGTAGTTAGACCGTAGGTCTTTGCGCTTAAATTGTAATTTGTGTACTACATTGTGTGCTTGAGTTGTTGAGTTTTGTGCTTAAGTTGTTATGTGTTCTTTAGTTGACATTGAATAAGATGAAACTCCTATTGTATGATTATTTGATATTCCTGGAGTTGGACCGGTGCTAGGCCAACTCCCGTGGATGAGCCGGTACTAGGCTATCTAAGATTGAATATAAGTTAAATGGATTGAATAGTCTGTTCATGTCGACAATGTGCACATTCCTTTTCGAGAGTCCTACTGAAAAAACTCTAGAGTTAAGTGTGTGTGCCCCAGAGTAATTTGAAGATGGGGATCCCCTGGAAAGTCTCCCGGGGTGCGCGTCAGTGAGGACAAAAGCGCGCTGAAAAAACTCATGTTGACCTGTGGGGCCAATCTACGATTCCAACATGCTCGTGAATATGCATGTGTGTTCCTGGATTGTGAAGTATCTTGAGTGCTTGCGTTAAATATGTAGGTAAATGTATTAAATGAGTTTAAACTTGTTTGCGTGTTTGCTTAGTATTGTGTACTACCTGATAGATTAATGTGTGTTCAATCTAAGTGCATGTTAATTAGGATCTATTTGTTCTATATGTGATATGTGTATTCTGCATTAATATTTATTCGTGAATGCAATAAGGGACAAAAGACGATAATAAAACACATTAGAGATAGGTAAGTGTATATAATTATCTATGTAAATGGAAATTAGTTAAATCACAACCAAGATAAATGAAAAATGTTAAAATTTAAGTCTTTTGAGACCTAATCCTGCTCGTCCTTCTATAATCATATGAAAATTGACTCACTCCGTATCCCACCCCACCCCACTGAATTTGGCCCAAACTTGTATTTTCTTTAACCCTAACTCTAACTATGTTGAGCCCATTCTAACCCATTTAGGTGTCAAACTGTAATTCATTGTGTTTGGATATCATTTTGTGTTTAAGGGGTTGTAATATGAGTTTTCATTTTAGTTTAAAGCCTCAACCGTGTTGGAGTTTAGAGAGGGAGAGGAAGAGAGGAAAAACCAAGAGCAGCCTGATGAGTTTTCCGATGGAGTTCTTGAGAGAAATTGATATTTTCGATTGTGTTTGATGAGAATTAAAGCTTAGAGTGCCGGCCGAACTTCATTTTTAAAGTGTGGCTGCCATGGGTTGTTGAGCCGAACATCATTGTCTCTCTAGCTAGTAAAAAAAAAATCAGAAATCGAAAGAAGATTGGAAAATAACAGTGGCAGCGGTGATCAATGTTCTTCAGAGATTTGGTGGTTGTTCAGAATAAGGCACCGTGAAAATCAATTGACTAGTCCCTTTGCTATTCAAATTTCTGATGTTGTTAGAACATATTTGCAATTTCTTTTTGATTGGGTCAAACAAAAAACAAATTGAAATCTTTATATTTTGTTTAGATTTTGTTCTCTTTAATTTTACTTCTGTTAATCCATTTTAATAATTTTATATTTACTAGAGATTCTTTGAAAAAATCTATCATTCTTGGGACAAATGCAGAACAATACTATTTATTTTTTAAAAAATAAAAAATAAATATCGTATCATATATTTACTTTCTTTCATAAAATGTTAAATCAAATATTACTTTTTTTTTTTCCATTTTCAAAATTTATCAAAACTAAAAAAATAAAAATAAAAATCCCTTGTTTAAATATATTTTGAAAAAACTATTTTGTAACTCTCTTGTACTTGAAAAAAACTAATTTTACTAGTACTGTGTAATATAAAAATAATAATATTTGTATAATATAAAGTAAATTGTAATATTTTTAATGTTAACACAAAGTAGTCGTTACTAAAAAACGATATTTTGTTGTTAAGGGATGGAAGAAATAATTTTTTTAAAACTATAATTAAATTATGTAATGAATTAGTTTCACAACTAAAAACTAATAGCCAATAATGTCCACCAATATATTATATAATCACCAACTAAAATTGTGGAAGTGCATAACAAAATATTTGAAAAATAAAATAAAATCCATATATGTAGCTCCCGTATTCAAAATACCAAACCTCCAAAGCATCCAAAACCTATCCAACGGCACCCTATTCAATAAAAATTTAGGAATGTATAATTATTAATAAATAATTAAAAATGTATTAATAAAAATAATTATGGTATGATAAAATTAATTATAGATTAAGATTAAAATAACTAATTAGTCTAATTAAAATTTAAAAAAATTATAAATTAAAATATTTAAAATGAGATTAAAGTGTATAATTCTAGAAAGCGAAAAACTAATGGGACCGACCGAAATAGAAAGCTAGTGAAAGTATGTAAGAGTTTTTGACATTTTTTTCATTTATGTATAAATTAATTGTATATGTAATGACATGTTTGTAATTTAAGTAAAAATT